TCAGACAATCTCAAAACCCACATACTCAAATAATATACCTAAAACCAACTAGGTAAATTAATTTAGACTTAAATTTATAGATAAATATTGTATTTAATAATGGTGTCACATCATCAATTATCTCGCATGCGAATTAATCAAATCAAGCTTTAAATTGTTCCTATCCTAAATTGTCCTCACATTTACACGACTACAAATATCTCAAAGGGATAAAATTGCTCTATTAGAATTAATGATCCCCAACTTAAACCCGCACAACTTGTCCCAACTATGGGTGTCCAAAAAGGCCCGCGGCCCGGCCGGCCGTCGGCCTCGGCAAACTCGGCCAGTCGGGCTTCCGCGGCGCTCTTTGGTGCGCGGGGTGCCGGCCTAGAATGAATTTTTTTTCCTTTTTTTTATTTTTTATTTTTATATGTATTATTATATGTACAATATATGTATATTATAAATATTATAATATGTAATAATATATTATATGGATAATATATTTTTATATATGTATAATATATGTATATATATAATATATAGTATATATTATCATATATTTCTATAAGATGTATTAATATGTCATATGTGTGTATTATATATACTCTTCTCTTAGTATATAAGTATATATAAGTATACTCTCTCTTATACTAAGTATATATATGTATAAGTATATATAATTATACTTTTCTCTATATAAGTAGTATATAAGAATACCTCTCTATATATGTTATAATGTATCGTATGTATTATATATTATTACTGTCCTTTTAGTATATATGTATATATAAGTATCTGCTCTCTATCAATATATGTATTACTCTCTCTATATATGTATACTCTCTCTATATAGGAGTTTACACTCTCTTATATATGTATATATGCTGTGTGTGTGTGTATATATATATACTTAAATACCTCTTCTCTAGCTAGTATATATGTATATATCAAGTAACTCTCTCTTATATATGTATTACTCCCTCTTATATGTAAGTATACTCTCTCTTTATATTGTATAATATGTGTGTGGTGCTGTGGCTGTGTATACTTCTCTTATACTATATAAGTATATATAAGTATAGTATATCAACGGCTACTTCTTCCCCATTGGCCCAACGGGCAACGGCTACTTATGTTGATTCTCTCTCTCCTCAAGTTATAACTTATTAAATATATACTAATATACTTTACATATAATATATGCTATATATATAATATATAGTTTACATTAATATTTGTAAGATATATACTAATAATTAATGTATAAAATATAATAATATTAAACTAATTCTTTTTTAGCATTTTTTTATCAAAAAAAAAGAAAAAAAAAGAAATTTAAAAACCTAGTTGGGATTACTTATCTATGTGTGATGCGTATGAAATTCCAAAAACAAATTTATATTTGAATTTATAAATGATTTATTAATTATTAATAAAGAATTTATTTTTATAATTTTTTATTTGTAATTTATGTCATTTTAAGTTGATTAATAAAATTATTGTTTTTTATTAAATTTTTTTTGTCTTTTTTAATTTAAATTTAAATAAAAATTACAAAAATTTGATCAAAAAATATAATAAAAAGAGTAAACCGGGTCGGCCAAGAACCCGGCCGGGGGCCCGAGCCTGGACCGGTTCCGGGTCCGGTCGCTGGGTTTATCCGGTTTTTGCCCGGCCCCTGGGCGCGAGATTTCCGGGTCGGGCCAGCCCAGATTGGACAGGTCTATGTCCACGCAATAACCTGCGTCCGCGACAGGCCGTGGCCGCATGGACAGGTCTAGTCCGCAACACCAATAACCCCCCCCCCCCACCCCCATCCTGAGGGATGGGGGTGGGTGGGCGGGGGGGTTATTGGGGTGCGGACTAGACCTGTCCATCCGGCCCGGCCTGTCCGGACCAGGTGTATTGTGGACTAGACCTGTCCAATCTGGGCTGGCCCGACCCGGAATCTCGCCCCGGGCGGGCAAAAACGGATCAACCAGACCGGACCCGGAACCGGGTCCAGGCCGGGCCCGCGGCCGGGGTTCTATGGCCGACCGGTTTACTTTTTTTATATTATTTTGTTGATCAAATTTTTATTTTTATTTAAATTTTAAAAATTAAAAAAAAGACAAAAAAAATATTTAATAAAAAAACAAGTATTTATATCATTCAAAATGATAATTACAAATAAAAAATTATAAAAATAAATTCTTTTTAATAATTAAAAATCATTTTAAATTACAAGTATAAATTTGTTTTGGAATTTCATCGCATCACAATAGATAAGTAATCCCAACTAAGGTTTTTAAATTTCTTTTCTTTTCTTTTTTTTGTAAAATGCTAAAAAATTTAGTTTTAAATATTATTTATTTATATAATTAATATTAGATTATACTTACAATTATTATGTAACTATATATTATATATTACATATTTATATAATATATTGTATATATTTAAGTTATAACTTGAGAGAAGACGAGAATCACAGTAAGTTAGCCGTTGCCCGTTGGGCCAATGGGGGAAGAAGTAGCCGTTGTACTATACTATAGCTGTATAATATACTTTTATAGTATAAGAGAGGTATACACACCACAACACGACACATATATATACATATATAAAGAGGAGTATACTTAATTAAGAGGGGTATACATATATAAGAGAGATGTACTCTATATATACATATATACAGAGGAGAGAGTAGTATTTAAGTATATATATATACACACACACACCACTATATACATAATATAAGAGAGTGTAAATTATATAAGAGAGATATACATATATAAGAGAGATATCATTAAGAGAGGAGTATTACTTAATACTATACATACATAAAAGAGAGAAGTAATATATTACATACATACATACATTATACATAATAAGAGAAGGTATTCTTATATATACTATATAGGAGAAAAGTATATTATATAATACTTATACATATATTATACTTATTAAGAGAGAGTATACTTATATATACTTATTATACTAGAGAGAGTATATATATTACAACATATGACATTATTATACATCTTATAGAAATATATGATAGATATATACATAATTATTATATACATATTATATATACATATATAAAATATATTATATATACATATATTATTACATATGATATATATTATTATACATATATGTACATATGATAATACATATAAAAATAAAAAATAAATAAAAAGTGAAAAAAAATTCATTCTAGGCCGGCGCCCCGGCACAAAGAGCCGGCCCGGAGCCCGGACTTGGCCCGAGTCTTTCCGAGCCGAGCGGCCGGCCGGCCGGCGGGCTTTTTGGACACCCATTAGTTGGGACAAGTTGGCGGGTTAAGTTGGGGATCATATTCTAATAGAGCAATTTTATCCCCTTTGGATTTTTTGTAGTGCGTGTAAAGTGGGAGGACAATTTTAGGATATGGAACAATTTTAAAGCTTGATTGATTAATTCATGCGAGAAATTGATGATGTGAACCTTATTAAATCAATATTTATCTATAATTAAGTGCTAATTAATTTACCTAGTTGGTTTAAGGGTTATTATTTGGATAGTTATTATATATGAATATATTATGTTTACTTATACTAAAATATAAATATATTGTTAGATTATAATTACTAATTATTATAAACTATGTTTTAATTGTTATTAATATAAATATAATATTAATAATAATAATATGATATATATATAATTATACTTATATAATAATATATTCATTAATTGAATATATAATATTTAATTCAGTATGTATAATATTTTGTTATTTCTAATTATAATTTAAAATATTGTTTATTTTATTAAAAAATATAATATAATATTATTATTATATGATAATGTACACTATTATTATAAATAGAATAATGATGAGACGTGACTCCTTTATTTAAATATAATATTTATAACGTAAGTAATGTAGTTTAAAATGTTCAATTTATTAATATAAAAATTTATCAATATATATTTATATTATAATTATATATATATTATCATACTTTAATTAAGTAATTTATATAATTTTTTTGTAAGGATTAAATATTATTGAATATTATGACTACACAATATTGATAATATTTTAAGACGTATTAATTAAATAATAAGTATAATAGAAATAGTAATTCATATATAAATAATAATTAGTATAATTTATTAATTATATTATAATTAATATATAAACACTATATCTATAATATAATATTTTGTATCATAAAAATATATAAGTATATTTTTATTTCTAACTAATAAAATATATATTAAATAATGTGAAGAGGGCGTAATATTAAAGGTTAGGAAAAAAAAATTTGTATAGAAGGGATAATTTATTGAAAAAAAGAAGAATATATATTGCCCAATCTTATTGTTCCAATTAATAACACCTTAAAATTAAAAATGGACAATATGATTGCCGCCCAAAGTAAAATTCCAAAAATTATACACCTTACCCAAATGTGACCAACAATTATCCCCCCACGCCCCTGCGCCCCTCGCTCCAAGTTAATTGCTCTTCCATTCCAAGCCTCACTCACTCACTCACTCTCCTCGATGCCGTCCCTCTTCTCTCTCCTCCTCTCCCCTCCTCGCGCCATCTCCTCCTCCCCTCCCTCCCCTTCCTCCCGCGCCGCCGCGCCTCACACTCCCTCATCCCCCTCTCCTCCCAAAACCCTAAACTCCTAACCCTGGACACAACCCCCCATCCATCCAAGCACCTGCTCCGCGCCCAGCGACTCCCTCGCGCACAGCTCTCTCCCCTCTCCCTCACCTCCCTTCTCCTCCTTCGCACCCCGCCGCCTCCTCCCGTCCCAAACCATCGGCCTCGTCGCGCCTCCCAGGCAACTTCATGCGCGCTCGTCGAAACCCCCGGCGGCCCTAACCCTAACCCTAGCCCCTTCTCCCCCGACCCAAGAGTCGGAACCGAGCTCCTCTGCGTTGTACGAGCTCTCCTCAAGAAGATTGGACGCAGGGTTCTTGTCGGGGATCGGGTTCTTGTCGGGTCCTTGGATTGGAATGGGGGGAGGGGGATGATTGAGGATGTGTTTGAGAGGAAGACCGAGATTCTTGATCCTCCCGTGGCGAACGTGGATCACCTTTTGGTGATGTTCGCGATGGAGCAGCCGAAGCCGGAGCCGTTTACCTTGACGAGGTTTCTTGTGGAGGCGGAGAGCATGGAGATTCCGTTCACGCTGGCGATGAATAAGGCGGAGCTCGCTGGCGAGGAGGTAGTCAAAGGATTCACATTTCTAGTTTTTTTTTTTTTCAAAAATTTGTTCTTTTAATATTTTTTTATAGCTACTTTGTGTACTTGCATATTGGCACTGGTTGTTTAGAAATGTGTATGGAGTAAGGACCACCTCAATAGGAGGTCACAAGAAAATTTTGAAATGATGCAGTAGGAAAGAACTGTGTACGTTTATACATTAACTGGCCATGTTTTTGCTAGAAATACTTTATATGGCAATTTAAGAGAAATTTTCAGAGACTGGTGGATCATACAGCTGATTGAGAGTAGGAAAATAGAAGTGCGTGGATGCGTATTACGGACTATGAGCAGATTCTGAAGCAGATTTTTGGTAGAAATACAAGAGACAGACCATGTAATCATTTGCTTTACTACAGTCTCTAGAAAGAAAGAAACAAAGAAACCAATGAGGAAAATACTAGGTATTGATACATTGCAATCTTAACTCAGATAGGAAAAGAGTAAACAGAGAAAGGGTTTGTTGTCCACTTTAGCTGTGATTGTAGCACATGTAACATGTTTGTAATTTGTAAAGAAAAGAAGGATAGTCGGAAGTGAAAGGAAAAACATCACTAGCAAAATACGTCATTTAGAGCAATGATCTGGTTGAGGCAGTACCTTGTAGCTAGAGACTGTGGTCAAGAAAACAAAACATGGTATTCAATTTCATGAAACATGACTTTTATAAGGACAGGTTTGTCTTTAGTGAACTCTATCAACAAATTCAGGAAATGTGTCTTTTACAAGGGCAAGTTTGTGTTTGATGAACTCTATCAACAAATTCTATGTGGTATTTAGGAAACACTAGGTTTTTTTCTTTTTGTTAAAAGCTCGTCAGTTCTTTTTGCATGTTGAGGATTAACAAAATCTACAAAACTCTGGTATTCAATTTGTTGGATTGATCTTGGCATTTACATAAAATTTTAAGGACTTCTTCTCCGTGCAGTGTACTGACCTTTGAGAGAGACATTGAGTTTATGTTAAATTACCTCATCTGTTTTTCTTGTTGCGGTAGTATTTCCTGATATTTCAAGCATTGATACTGTTTTGAGTAGTAGTTTCACTTTCATCATTTAGAAGAACCAAATCTCCTCCACCATTATCTATATCTTTCAACTTTTCTCATTACCTTTTGTTGGTGTTAATGACATAACTTATGAAAATTTATGTCTATAACAATGCAGAGTTTGAGTGAGTGGAGAATAAGGCTTCATTCCTGGGGCTACCAACCCTTATTTTGCAGTGTGGATAACAAATCTGGATTGGCTTCTCTGGAGGATATCTTGAAAGGGCAAACAACTGTAATAGTTGGTCCAAGCGGTGTTGGAAAGTCCAGTCTTATCAATTCCTTGAGGAGCAAGCAAAGGATTGCTGGAGGAAAGGAAATAAATGGTTTGCATGATCATGTATGTATAACATTATTCCTTTGCTTTTGTGATTTTCAAGTCTCTTTTCCATATACTTCTCTTTGTTGGGATTAAAAATCCCAGGAGATTTATTTTTCTATTTAATTTTGTTATTTTGTGAGGTGAAGGTTGTAATGTACATTATGTACTACATCATATGCAATTTATGACAGTTATAAATTGCTTGTTTGCTTCCCAGACATTGGGAAACCCTTCTTGTCACCATCCTTCTGTACCTATATAAATGATACAATAAATTGTTTGCTAAAAGTTTAGTAGGAAACTGTTTTGTTACATTCTTGTATTCACATGGATCATATTCGTTCTTTTGACTGTTTCAGAAGAATGAAGGAAGTAAGTGGCTTGGCGAACAGCGAGTGGATACGGTATCTAAGAGAAGTGGCCAAGGAAAGCACACAACAAGAAATGTATCCTTATTGCCACTCTCCGAGGGAGGTTATATTTGTGACACTCCTGGATTTAACCAGCCGAGTCTACTGAAAGTCACAAAGAGAAGTCTAGCAGATACATTTCCAGAGGTTCACTTTTAAGTTCTTGCCTATTTAATTCCTTGCCCTCAGCTTTAGCAATTTCTTCACAAATTATGAGTTGTTTCATAACTGTTTGAAACTTGGATTCTTCTGTGTCTGCAGATCAGGCAAAGGAGAAGTGCTAGTGAGCCCTCAAGATGCTCATTTAATGACTGCTTGCATCTTGGGGAACCTGGATGTGTTGTGAATGCTGACTGGGAAAGATATCCTTACTATTTTCAGTTACTTGATGAGATTAAAATTAGGGAGGCCTTCCAGTTGCGGACCAGGGGAACAAAGAGAGAGCAAGATGTGAGGTGAGTTAATAATTAGTTTGTCTGTTTGCATATTACACAATCATGATAATTGATTGCCCCCCTTATCCTGTGTTTTATTATGCTGCTCTTTAAACATAACTGATCTCTCAATGCTTTTTCCTGCTTGCAATGTTTAAGCTAAAAGAAGATGCTAGTTTCTAATATAGGAACTTGACATTACCATATTCCAAGCGAAACATAAGCAGATGTGATGAGGATAGGTGCTAGTTACTGATTTTAGCAATTTGGCATCTGGTGAGAATTGGTATTTGGTGTTGAAACTTTGCATAATAATAATGAGAAGTAATATTCTGTTGAGCTCGAGGTTAGATATGTTTTCAATCATTTTTAAAGAATACTTGTATTATTCTGACATTTTATTCTCAGTACTCTGCAAGACATCATCTTGTATCACATGATAACTGAATCAAACTCATTTGATTATTGTAAGGCCCTTGAGGCTGGATTCTTTGAAGAGATTTCCTAGCCTTATAACCACATAAGAAGTGATAAAATCACTCTACGAAAGTAGCGGGCCTAGTGGCTGATGAAGAAAGGCAGTATTAATTATCATTACTTAGATGGTTAATTTATGATTACGTTGGGCCTTATTTGTAGGTACAAGGTGGGTGAAATGGGTGTCAAACAAGCAGAACCACGTCTTGAGCCAAAGAAGCACAGGAGGGTATCTAGAAAGCAGCTTAATCAGTCTATACTGGATGATCTTGATGAAGATCTGGAAGAGGCAGGATATTGACGAAAAATGGTAGCTAAGTCTGACTCATGGTCATGGATTAGATGTACATGAAAGCTTGGTAAGGAACTAGATACCAATAAACATTCAGACACCTGTAAGTAGTTGAGTTTGTGTACTTGTTTCTATGTGCCCTACATTGTATGCTATGTTTAGACACCGCAATTACAAATTTATTTACATAAATAAAAGTTGCTAGTTTCTTCTGCTGATTTGTTTTTAGACATCTAGCTTTTCGCTTTTGTGGTTAAGACATTTTTTATTTCTGGACTGAAAATAAGTTTTCATGAATTAGGATCAGCGCGAAAGGAAAAGAAATTTGCAATGTGGTTCAAGAGTAAGAGCAAATTTACGATGTTGATAGACATATAAACAGACGAAATACATGGTGTTTCTATGAACATTAAATAATTAATACACTTGAGAACAATAGCCCTCAACTTATTTGGTATGCCAACTCAAGTATTGCAGACACACATGTAGACACACACACACACACACACACAATCAAAAGGAACAATACTATTTTGAAGATCGATAATAGGAGAGAACAGTATAAACAGTCTGTAGTATTGTTAGCACAATAAAAAGAACCGCACTAGTGATCAGGTAAATTGAATTTATCGGATTCCTAAAGTATCCATGTTTTAACTTTGCTTTATACCTGATCCATTTGGTATCATAGAGTTCCCACACATTCATGGAGAGGTCCTGAAGCTGAGAAAGATAGGACTTGTCATAGTCCATTATAGAGTCCTTGCACAACTTTCTGAAGAAGAGAGTTGCTTCATTATAGTCCAGAGTATACGCAACAATCCTTTCTCGTCGCAACAAATCCAAATCCTTTCCCGAGTCTATAAGACAACTCATTAACATCACATAGGCCATTACCCTACTTCTTATGTTTCGAAAGAAATACTGTTCGAAAGTTATGAGGTTTCTGTAGAAAGAGTTAGAGTTGCTGTTGAGCCTTGCAGGAAAGATCTCGATGATACCGTGTTCATATGATATATTCCAGCTGAAGCTCCGATCAGTCTTTTGCTTGAACTTCACATCGACATTCATAAGATCAGATGCACATGGAGTCATCAGCATCGATTCAGTTGGAAAATCAGCAACGATGACCTCTTCAATTGGTTTGCCAATAAAACATGCATGGAAGAGATGAAGCAAATGGTAAAACTTATTAGTTTTAGATGATGAGCCATCACTTTTAGGAAGTGGTTCAAGACCCTTGATTAGACCTTTGAAGAATTTGGAAGCAATTTCAATAAGAGAGATTTTGTCTCCAACCACCAAGTCGAGCAAACCCTTTAGGACAACAAAAGGAAGCTGATTCTCAAGAAGCAACATATCAAACTCTACCAATGATAAAGTCGTCATGTTATTTAAGATCAGATTCTCTCTTTGTTGTTCATGGCTTCTGAAGTAATGTGAGAGCAAGAGCTCAACGATGAAGCATCCATCAAGAAGCAGCATGTCTGAGAACTCCCTCTCTCCAAGTTTGATATCTCCAGAATAAGACAATTGAGATTGTGTCTTCAACCCATCAATGAGCTGCAAATACTTGTCCAATGTAATTTCTTTGTTTCGTTGAAGGATTCTTTCAAAGTAAAGCAATTTGACTTGATCCATGGGTTTTAGGTGTGGCTTGTTATGGTGGTAGGGGCCTATAGATACGACCTTAGGCTCATAAGCATTGGGATCTGTTGCTCTGATGTGGTCTGAGACTCTGAAGATGATGCTTGTGCCTCCGTTGTTAGGGTTTGAGCCTCTCAGCTTCTTCTTCCAGGACTTAACCCATTCTTGATCCAAGACTTTGATAGAATGCTCTGGTGTGCTCACCATTTTTGTTTTGTGTTAGGTACAGGAATAGAAGCAAAATATGCAGTATATATACATACAACGACTTGACTGATTAAGGTTCTAAGTCCTCGTCAGTTCATCTTTGATTATGTGCACGCAAACTATTTGCATATTTTCTGACTTAAGTCTTGCTCAGTCTAGCTTCCTTTCAGTAAATATTCATTGGTGCATCGCATCAGGTTTGTTCAAGACTATCTGTTAGTAGATTATGGCCATTCTCTTATTGATTACAAATGTGTTATTAAGGAGGCATCAAGATAATTTAGCTGAATACATACGTTTTACATCGTAAGTTTGAGAATTATGCCAGACGGAGGAAATTTCTGCGATCATCGAACTTGAACACAGAAAACGCTTGATTTGACTATATAAGGTTTTGGTTTCATATGTGGTTATATTTTTGGTTTATTTAGATATAGTCCCTCTAATCTTCATTAATTCCACAGTCCCTCAAAGCTTTGAAATTGCTCATAGGTCCCTCAATGATCAACACGTCCCTGAGCTAATGTTTTCGTGAGCACAAAGGAGTTCTGGGGGAACATAAAACTGAATGGTATTTTGGTCATTGAGAAACCAAATTGCAAGACCCCTTGGAATTTTGAGGGATTTATGAGCAATTTCAAAGATTTGAGGCACTAATATATAAATAACTAGTATTTTTTGGGGGGTTCATCTCTGATTAGGTAGAAACAAGCCATTTGCATTTTTTTTCCTGACCAGAATGCTTACGTTGTTGTATCTAGTTGTTTGCATAAAAATTTAATTTCAAGACTGACCACCAGTAAAGAATAATGCTTTTATTAAGGAGTTGTGTACACGCAAACTATTTGCATTTCTTTTCTGATTGGAGTCTTGCCGAGTCTAGTTTCTTTTCAATAAATATTCACGGTTGCATTGCATCTAGCTGTTCACGAATCAGGCTTATTACAGGTTATGACCATCCTCTTGTAGATTACAAATGTTGGAGCATGGAACACGGTATCGAGATAATTGAGTTTCATCTGGCAAGTTTGAGAATTGTGCCTCCAAGATGGAGGAGATTTCTGCAAACATCAATTACGTACAAATACGGAGATTTGACTGGGTTAAGGTTTTAGCTTTTTTGTATGATTTTTATAGTTTCATTTTTGGTTATGCACAAGCGAACTATTGCATGTATATTTGCTGACCAGGATGCTTACGCTGTTGCGTCTAGTTGTTTGTATGAAAATTTAGACTTATCATCTACTATAAAAGAATAATCTTTTATACAAATGGTTTGAAGAAGGAAACAAGCATTGGACAGTTTAGCTGAATGTGACGACCCATGAATGGAAAACACCGAGAAGAAATAGAGAAGTCCACATGCATCCGGGCTTCTACAGGTAAGTATATAAAAAATATTTTCTCTGTGTACCTTAAGTGGGTAATCCACATTGTTTATGTTTGGAGATTTGAACGGAGAATGGCAACTTATGTGTTGAGATTAGATGAATTTTGCCCGGTACTGTCCAAAATGAAGCAACTCTGAGTAGATTGACAAACTCTCTTGCTTTTTAAAGTAAGAGTAGTAGTGATGGTTGTACTATAAAACTTACCCTATTTTGTACTCTTATATAAAATAAATAGAAAAGTAGAGTTGGTAATGATTCATAATTTTTCTTAACAAATTCTAACAAAGGACCCTACACATTTGCTAGCTGTAGTACAAGTAGTATAGAAATAGTATGAAACTTGTAGTACCATTATAGACTTAAATCTCTAAGAAAGGACTCCACACAGTTTTTCTTGAAAATTTCTATGAAAGGACCCACAAGTTTTGAGAAATGTAGCCTCCTAGATGGACGTAATCTCTTTAGAATGATCACAAATTTTCATCATCTCCGTCAAGGCAATCATTTTGGAAAGGTTTGGTGGGTGGAACTTGTTCTGGATTCTAACACTTCAATGCATATTTCCTTGCTTGGTATGTGTTTATGGGTTAATTGCGCATAGACCCCAGTTATTATTGCCCAATTGTGGATGGACACCATGGGAATTGATTCAGGGGTCTATCACAATTTGGCTGTAGTACAACAGTTACTATATCCGCAATTAACCCTACCTAAACTAGCGTGGTATGGGAATAAAAAAACGAAAATGGGGAACCAGAGTCCGAGCAGATTATTTATAGTTGTAAATAAATAAAGTTTGGACGCAATGCTTATAACGGCAATGGGGCGGCATCTAGTGTGAGGTAAAATGAGCTTTTAACGGCAAACCGAAGTTTGCTGGAATAGTACTTTAGTTCGTCAGAAGCCTTTAACAAAGCTGAATCAAATACGAGGTTCGCTAGAATCGAACCGAAGTTCGTCAACCGCATCGAAGCTCGCCTGAATCCAGATAAGCTTCTAAGCCCTAATTTCTTTCACCCCTTAGGGTATAGATCTGAAACCCCACCACCAATGCTTCCGCACCCTAGGGTTGAAACCCTAGGGTTTCCTGATGCTGCCGCCGCCGTCTCCAATTGTCAACGAGGCCGCCAACAGAACATGGCCGGCGAAGAGCGTGGCGCTTGACGACAAACAGAAAAAACCTATAGTCCGAGCAGATTATTTATAGTTGTAAATAAATAAAGTTTGGACGCAATGCTTATAACGGCAATGGGGCGGCATCTAGTGTGAGGTAAAATGAGCTTTTAACGGCAAACCGAAGTTTGCTGGAATAGTACTTTAGTTCGTCAGAAGCCTTTAACAAAGCTGAATCAAATACGAGGTTCGCTAGAATCGAACCGAAGTTCGTCAACCGCATCGAAGCTCGCCTGAATCCAGATAAGCTTCTAAGCCCTAATTTCTTTCACCCCTTAGGGTATAGATCTGAAACCCCACCACCAATGCTTCCGCACCCTAGGGTTGAAACCCTAGGGTTTCCTGATGCTGCCGCCGCCGTCTCCAATTGTCAACGAGGCCGCCAACAGAACATGGCCGGCGAAGAGCGTGGCGCTTGACGACAAACAGAAAAAACCTATTTTTGCTTTCGATTTTAATTCATAACCAGATCCAACAACTGGATCCAAGACTTGTCCAGATCCAGAATAAAAGAAAAGATGAATTCTTGATCCAGATCCCAAAAAGAAAACAAAATTGAAAGAAAACAAAATTGAAAGAAAACACAAACCAAAACTTGATCTTTTACTGTTCATCCGTGGAACAGTTCTAAAAAATCCACAGATTAAGATCAAAAACCTAATTTTAAATCTTAAACCCCTAAGAAATAATCACGGTGTCTCTGATACCACTTGTTGAACTTAATCGTGATTAAATCATAGAGATTAAACAATAAGAGCGGAAACTATACCTGAATTCATAGAGAACCTGAATTAAGGTTTTGATGATCTTCTAATCTCAGGGTTTCTCCTTTAGTATCTCTTTAGATGTGGATAAAAGAATAGAGAATGTGTTAACCCTAGATTAGGGACCATAACCCCATATATATATAGGTGTTGTACATTTATAATTTGGCCCCTCATCAAATTATAACATAGTATCTGCACATGTAAGCCATGATATATTTAAATACTCATTAATCCAAATTGATTGATCACTTTATGCGGGTTATCCTTAAGGATAGCAATACACACTGATAAACATATGTGCCCCAAATTGATTGATCACTTTATGCGGGTTATCCTTAAGGATAGCAATACACACTGATAAACATATGTGCCCACAAATTAGATTAAGGATAGCAATACACACTGATAAACATATGTGCCCACAAATTAGATTTAATTAGATTTAAATCCAACATGATATGGTTGAGATGAATAAAAGGGAAATACAAGGGAATGAGAATAGGATGTCGATAACTCAAGGATACAAAAACACCGTCCTAGAATAAATTAAAGGAGGATAGTTGGGATTAGTCTACTGCTCTTGAGATGCATATTCATTACTCTAAAGAAATACGACAGCCATGACTCCAACGTCTCCATCTTATCTTAGAAGATAAACATTCACACTTAATGAAATCCACTAAGAAATAGTTGGGCAAATACAAAGCACATAAATTAACTATAATCAAACTCAACACTACTACCATTTCCTTTAGTACTTAAAAGAACATATAGGCTTGAAACATTCCTTCAAGAATCAGAATTTCTAAATTCTAGGTAACAATTAAATGAATATCGAATTAATAAAAGACATATTTGACTAACTTAGTATCTTAGAAAACATAAAAGTCAATGCAGTCCAAATTAATTATTCTTTGCCTTCTCCCGATAACTTTCTCCTGAGAACTACATATGGTTTATGTACAACTAGATTCATTTGCTTCAAACGAAGAGTCACCCAAGGAAAGTTATGACCGAAACAATCAATCACACAGAGTCTAGAGAAACTAAAAATGAAGCTCGGTCAAATTCACTACTAAGTGCTGACTTGAATCTATTTAGCACTTCTATATCATTTCCAACCAGCAAAATATCATCCGCATATAAGGATTTTATTGTAAAACTGCTGCCACTCTTCAAGACATATATACAGTTATCCAATTTATTTGTAACAAAACCAAGTTGGATAACAGTATTGTGAAATTTGAGATACCACTATCTAGATGATTGTTTTAAACCATATAAAACCAAGTTGGATAACAGTATTGTGAAATTTGAGATACCACTATCTAGATGATTGTTTTAAACCATATAAAGATTTCTTTAATTTATATACTTTAAAATTTGAGATACCACTATCTAGATGATTGTTTTAAACCATATAAAGATTTCTTTAATTTATATACTTTATTTTCCTATCCTTCAACCTGAAATCCCTCAGGTTGATTCATATATATTACTTCCTTCAACTCTTCATTGAAGAATACAGTCTTGACATCCATTTAGAAAAGTTCCAAGTTAAGATGTGCAACAATTGCTAAGATAATTCTAAAAGAAGCAAACTTAACCACCGGAGAATAAGTCTCCTGATAATCTATACTCGCCTTCTGGGTAAAGACTTTAGCAACTAATCAGGCTTTAAATGTATCAATAGACCCATCAACCCGCTATTTCTTCTTTAACACTCATTTACATCCTATGGACTTTCTATCTTCTGGTAAGTTACATAGCTCCCATACATTGTTTCTCTCTATTGAGTCAAGCTCCATTTTTATAGCATCCAGCTATTGTTCCGATTCATGTGTATTCATAGCATCCACATAATTCAAGGGATCAGCTTGCTCATCTATGTCAATATCTACCGAGAAACATGATGGTTCACATGAATACAAATAATAGTCATCCATCCATGCAGGTGTTGTTCTGGGTCTTTTATTACCACTAAGGCTGGCAGGTTGGACAGGTTCAGCTAGTTGATTTTCCATAAACATATTCTCATTTAAGGGTTCATGTTCCATTATCGGATGATTTACTTCATCCACTATGTCTAGGTCATCGTTGGGAACATCATCTAAGTCGAGCAGAGGTGGTACCGCCTCTTGAACTTATTCCCTTTCCTCTAGATTTTCTAGAAAAGTAGCATCTCTACTTTCAATGACCCCTTTATCTTCATGAAAAAAAAATCTATATCCTTTAGATTTTTCAGAATAGTCTATAAATCTATATTTTAAGGTTTTGAGATCCAACTTATCTCTAACCTGATATGAAATGAGAACATGTGCAACACAACCCTATTTTCTGAAGTGACTCAAATCGGGTTTGTGTCCATTCCAAATCTCATATGGTGTTGACTCGACTGATTTTGTGGGAAAAGTGACTCAAATCGGGTTTGTGTCCATTCCAAATCTCATATGGTGTTGACTCGACTGATTTTGTGGGAATTCTATTCAAAACATAATTCGCAGTCAATCCAAATCTCATATGGTGTTGACTCGACTGATTTTGTGGGAATTCTATTCAAAACATAATTCGCAGTCAATAAAGCTTCTCCCTAAAAATCCTTGGAGAGACC